AGTGCAGACATTGCATGCAGAATATGAAGGAATTATCATTATTAAGTAGATTTAACTCCTTCTCTTTTGGGCATAGATAGCTTTAAGCTGTTGGAGCCCTGACAGTCTTGTTTGACTGGTAAACCAAATGGCTTTCTGATTCCTCTCCAATGTGTCTCTGCATTTACAATGCTGGCTGAAATGAGGGACGGAGGTTTTCCTAGGGCCTTTTGAGCCTTCATCTCATGTGAAGACATGAAATGAAAGGGTTTTAATGAGGCTTTCAGAAATGGGTAGGCCATTAATGAAACTGATCAAGCCAAGGGCTTCATGAGCATCTGATTAAATGTGTTTTTTTTGTTGTTTTTTTATACTGGCATTCTACAGAAAATGTTTGTGTTCCAGTTGAATTGTTTAAGGCATTATATAATGCCTATATTTCTGATAAAAGGTGTGAAGAGAGTTCAATTCTAAAGGCTTTCCAGAAAGCACAAAGCGTTTCCTAGAATTACTTTTTATCTCAAAGCACTGGTTGTACTCCGCACTGTAAAATTAATTTGATAAGGATTTCTTGTCTGAGTTTAAAGGGACATGATAACGGAGGTGTGCTGGTTAATTTGAATAATTTTCTTTGAAGTTAAGTGATGGGACTTGGATTTTAAGTAGAGAACAAGGGAGGAGAGACAACAGCTCTAAATGCCACATAGTAGTGCAAAGACTGACCTCTTTGAAGCTACCTGTGGGGGAAAACGGAAGGGAGGGGCGTGCTGGCATTTCACGAGAGACAGCCACAAAGATGTTACACACATAAACGTGGATTTATCTAATGCAGCTCCTCTCTGTCAGACCCTTTAAAATCATCCATGGTGCTCAGTAGTTTCTCATATTTTAAAAGTTTTATTATTATTTATTATTCCACAGGTGTCCAAACTCATTGTTACATTGGAAAAAAAATGTCAAGCTAAAGCTACTTGTAGCTAACCTGACTCCACCAGATGGATTTGCTCCGCATATCCATCTGGAAACCTTCCATTGAAGTAATTTTGGGAAGGGGCGAAAATACTGGTTAGCTGATTGGCCTATGTTGGTGATAGACGGGCCAAATAAACCAATCAGATCAACGAAGCATATGACGTACTAACAGGGTGACGACAAAAACACGACCACAAGCCAGGCTACTCTTGCCGAAACCAGTCGAGAGAAGAGCAAAAACATCTTTTCCTCTGAGAAAAGCCTCCAGAGCAGTGTTTTGCTCTTCTTTCAGTGAAGAAATACTCTGTAATTCCGATAAAACTTGCTCAATAGCCACGCTAACGCTAGTTTCATTGGCTGAAGCCGCCATGTTCTTTAGACTGAACTGTCGCACTTCTCGTTGCGTCACACCTCAACCCGCCTCAAAGCCAACGCTGATTGGACGTTCGTTTGGTGAACGGCTCCAAATTTTCTTTAACGGAGAATCCCCAGACTGATCTGCGAGTGAAACCTTGAAAGCTCGCAAGATCAGGATGGTCTCACGAGGCTAACTTGTAGAACCCTTTTTAAAATTATGATTTTTTACATCAGGTTGTAGGTTATGTGAGTGACTAACACAAAAGTGATGCAAGCTTGTCTTTACAACATTTTAACACATTTACTATTTTTAATAAAATTTGTTATTTTTTTCATTTTTATTTTAAGAAAATCAAATACTTTGTCAAGACTGTTGAAGAAATGGACAATTATGATCCAAATATGATCACCTCACTCTTAAGCCTTTAATAAAGAGTTAAGTTTGCTCACCTCTAGTTAGTTTTGGTCAAATTTAGCATTTGATTTTCAAGATATTTAGCAATTTCTGGGATGATTTTAAAGTTGACTTCAAGGAAAATGTTTTGCTATTATCTATCCAGTTTCTATTTGAGTTAATTATTATTCTGTTCTGGTGTTTGGTATCTTAGCCCACACAGAACACCTCCGCCCTTCCAGCGTTATATCAGATTTGGGAAGTGTAGCTAGACACCACTGAATATCTTCATATGGTTATCTTTGGTCCATTAATCACAGGATGTGTTTAGACTGTCCAATAAGGATGGTGTAAATATTCTAAAGCAAATTTGTTATGAGGTAAGGAGCTTTGGTACAGGGCTGGGAGGTTGTATATTTGATTGCATGTTTATGTATTGTTTGACTTTTAAGGAACCGGCCTCTGGGTATAACCGGTGATCTTTGAAGGGGACAGTGTGACCTGGATCTGTGTGAAATATGCTCAGAGGCAGGATGACACCCACCCCTTCATACAATTCAATGAGGGGAACGAAATGTTGTATTCACTCAACAGATAATTCATGGCCTCAGTTGCCAAATTAATCAAGTAGCATGGCAATGTGCTGCATGCCCACCCTTATCAAAACTCTGAATGGCTCCAGCTTGTACTCTAGACAAAATCAGTCTGTCATTGCATAAACGTTAATTGGTTTTACAGAGTTCAGCCTTGCCTTTTGTCATTAAATTAGCATTCATTTCTAGAGTCTCTCATGTATTGTTCTGGTCCTTTTTTAATGGTTGCTTTCTTGGCATACTTTGGATGGCAGGTGCTAGATTTGCTCTTGCTCCCATCTTGTGCTTTGCTGCTTTTAAATGAATTCTGCAGCATGATAAATAACATTACTGTTATCTGACATTTAGGATGAATGTTGTTGGATTTGAAGCTTTTTGTGCTGGAAACCGTAATAAGCCTTGAGCTGTTTTCTTGTTTTGAAACAACCTCGCCAGGCCCCCCATCCTGCGTTTATCTTTTTCGAAAAGGGCAACACTTTTCATTTTGACCCATTTTGACCCAGCAGCTCAAATCCATCGGTTTTGTATTGCCGGTTTGATGTTTAATGGCAGAGATGTACAACAATTTAACATCGGGCATCAGATTTAAAGTTTAAAAAAAGGAAAAATCAATCAGGTGATCAATGTCAATTTAATGTGGGTGCTGTTATGTTTCCCCCCCCACAAACACTACCTCCCTGAGGGAAGGTTTTCAGACTGAACAAAGCAGCATTGCTTTTCCCTCATTCAGTGTGTACCTATAGATCTACCCAGAATTGAGTTGGGTCTCTGAAAAGCTTTCATACGTATTTGATGGCACATTAGAACTGTAAAAGACCATAAAGTGTAGAGATACAGGGCATTTTGATACACCTAAACAAGTAGAATCTTAACGGTTCATTCGATTGAAAGTGGTTTAGATTCTTCGCGAAAATAAAAGTCCAAACTCCAGTTTGTGCTTAATCTTTTAAATTCGATAAGGCCAAAATTCTTACTTTAGAAACCTTAGGTGGCCTCTGAACCCATGGGAAGGTAAAGTTCATCAGTCATTAAAACCCTACAAGCCACTGAACACAATTGCTTGAAGAATATTGCTGTGTTTTAATAGAAATGAAAAATATGAGAAATATAAATATATTTCTTAAGTATCGTTGTAATTTAAAAGTTTAGTTGATAAATAAAAATGTATCTTTGTGGGAGTTCAACTGTAAATAATAGAATACAAATCTATATTCTAATATAAAAGCATGAGCTCTGTAAGTTATGGCTGCTACATAAGAACTTCATCGTAAAAAGTCTGGTTAAAGTATCCTGACTTTGTCTCTTCACCGTTTGTCCTTGATAAACACCTAGACACTGATTCAAATTGTCACTTTCTCACTCGTTCATTTTTTCCATGTCAACCTCTCAGGCCTCTAATAATATCTGCTAATTAATAACCAGACTAATGAATACCAAATTATGCTCTGAGTGTTAAAGGTTGGGGGTCCTGAAACAAGAATTGCGAGGGTCATTTCAACTTCAAGGAGAACATTGTGTGAAGGAAACTATAAAGCACCTCGGAGCAAAAAAAAAGTGCACATCTATTTAAGTTGTTTTATTATTTATACTGAACATGAAGAAAAATCTGCAGGAAAAAATTTAAAACTTTCCAGTGCAGTGCTGGTAATTTGGTGGCTACACTGAGGTTTGAAATTATAGACATTAAACATAAATGGCCTTTCAAATTTACATAACTTCCAAATCCTTTATTTTAAAACAGACTGTTGTACAAACTGCAATATGTTTATTGTAGTCTTTGTAGTAATTCTTAGGCAAAGGAAGTTTATTTTTATAGCAGGTTTCTGTGGCACGACAATTTAAAGTTCTGTACACGAGGAGGAAAAAACACAAATAATTGAATAGAATAAAAGTGAATAATTAAAATTAGATGATAGTATTAAAAAAGAGAACAATTGAAAGAAAAGTTTGAGTCTAAATTAATCTGGTTTAGCTAGCGCAGTAAAAGGAGACTCTAAACAAATATGCTTTTAAACATGACTTAATGCAACTGAGGGTTTCAGCTCTTTTGTCGGGAGTTTGTTCCATATTAGTGGAGCATAGGAACTAAACTCTCCTTCTCTATGTGTAGCTCTGGGTATACACACTAGACTTGAGCCAGAAAATCTGGACGGTCCAGGATCTTGATGCACTGATAGCAAGTCTGTAATATAATTTGGTGCTAAACAATTCAATGACTTATAGACTAACAGAAGTATTTTAAAGTAATTTTTTTGAGAAACAGGAAGCCCCAGTCATGATGTGCTTCATTTTCTTAGTTTTAGTGAGGACACGGCAGCAGCATTCTGGATCACCTGTAGCTGTCTGATTAAGTTTTTAGGCAGGCCAGGAAGACCCCATCGCAGTAATCAATTCTACTAAAAATGAACACATTAATTAGTTTTGTATGTCCTGCTTGGACAGTAGTCCTTTAATTTTTAGATGTTCCTTAAGTGATTAAAAGCCACATTTGTTACTGCCTTCATGTGTCTTTAAAGGTTTAGGTGTATGTCCATAACTACACCCAGATTGGAGGTTTCTAGCTGTATTAACTGAAGCTCTGTTTTTAAAGCCATGTTCTTGTAAATCTAATGGTTTGGTTTAATAATGACACTAAATATGTATCAACTGGTTAATAGCAGATTTACTCAGTTTTGTTCACATGTCTTCTGTGTTTGTTGTTACAGCAGTTAATGAGAGAGCGTCAGCAGATGGCCAGTCGTCCGTTTGCATCCGTGGCTGTTTCACTGGATGCCAGAAGAGAGCTGACTGAAGTCCTGCAGCCCGTGCTTGATGTGAGTATAAATCCCACATTAAAGACTATAGATTATTTGATGCATTCTTTTTAGTTTTAAAATTTAAAATACAAAGTTTTACAAAGTAGAGATGATAGCAATATCCTTCCATGTAATCCAACATACTTGACTGTTCCTTCTGTTAAAGACATTAAATATGCAATTATTTCAATTCTACATAATCAAAAGCTATTGTGCTGTAGTCATCTTAATCATTTTTGGCTCTGAGGAAGCCTTTTTCTAAGTTGTCACCTCAAAGAAAATCAGTGAGTTCTTCCAATGCTTCATTTCTACCCTTTGGTTTGGTTTATTCATAATAGTTTTTTAATTTCTTGCTTTCTTACATGCTTCTGCGTAGGATTACTCCATACTGTCTAGTCTTTTCAGTTTTTTTTTTATACTTCCCTAACAGATGTTTAAGTTTGGCTCCAGGTTCAGCATTGGATATTAGCCTATTCTGTATATTTCTTGGCTTTAAAGAAGAAGAAATATGTCGAGCCCGAGCTGAGTCTCATCTGCTCTTGTGAGAAACAAAATCACTGTGGCAACCTGCAAAGAGGCAACCCATTAAGGCTGAGCGTTTTGCTGAATGGTACTCACGCAGCATTATGTTGTTTTAAAGGGCAATGTAAAGCACAAAAGAGGAGGAAAAACTATGCTTCTTCGCTCACTTAGTGTGTCATGCTGTCTGAAACCGAAAGCTGCAAGAAACTGGTTATTTTTTTAGATTAAAGTAAAGTTTTAATTGCATATTTATCAGTGGAATGTAGGTCTGTGTGACGTTGGATATATTCCAGCCGTGGTTCTTCTTTATCTCATGAATATCTCAAGCGTCTTTATAGCACATCAAATGGGACACTTATGAGACTCTAAAGCAATATTAGAAAACAGTTTGTATTGTGAAAAATAGAAATCCTCCTAATGGCAATGAGACAATACAGCAACCCAAAATAGGTGTAACCTATCCAAAATAATTTTGTGCTTGGGTGTAAATTCTCTTTTTTCTCTCAAGATTTTGGATAATGTATTTGCTAGAGAGCTTTTACCTTCTAATAAAAAAATATGTTTTTGATGTTTAGGAAAAAAATGCATTTAACTGAGAGTATGCTCCTTTAGACAGCTACAATATTTTGGGAATCTATGGCCTAATTTCTTTTTGATTTTCCGTCTGTCTCTGCTGCCCAGAGCACCTTGAGAAAAAGGGTGTATTATCTAGCAGAGATCACAGTTGATCCTGGGTTATGGTTCGGATCGTACTTTTCAAACAAAACCATCATCCAGATCTTGCCATATTTGATTGTCATATTTTTTATACATTTGGATTGTTTAAGAATGATTTGGGCTTTTGTTGTACATACCCCAACATTTTACAACATTTCTCACCATGGGAGGTGGTTAAATGTATTTTTAAAAGCACGTTTTTGTTTATGTCTATACGGTAGAACAGAGAATATGGCGCTCAAATGGTTTGTGACATTTGCAAAGGCTTCTATATGTTCCTGTTCCCTTTGCACCAAAGGGCCACTTACTTGGATAAAAGCCACAGTTAAGCTGAGCTGTGGAAAGAGAAAAGGAAATACTCTGAAATGTCACAAACATGATTGTTGTTTTGCACATCACCAATATGATCCACTGCAGCAGACATAAAGCCAATTGAGCTCAAGCAAGAAAGTTAATTTAATTTGAACTTTGAAGATCTTCCACTATTGAGAATTGTTGAAAGTCTGGGCTTTTGTTCAGTGGAGGTGCCCTTTGTATTTAATATCCCACCCTAAAGGTCTTTCCCTGGAAGAGCCATCCCCACAATTTTAAACAACACAAAATCAAAGCAAAAATGACACAACCAGCCAAGATAAATATAATATGTGACGGCATTACCGTTTCAGTCTCTGCTGCATCACTGTAGCTGAACATTTTCTTCATTTAGTTGGTTTCTTCCCATTCCATGCATTTCAGAAAATCAGGTTGCCTACAATTGCCAGGGAGGCTTTGCTTTACAAAAAGGACATCTCTAGACATTACCCTAATTGCATACACAATTTGGACACAGCCCCTTCCTCTTCGAACATAATGGTGGTGGACAAGGAGGTGCATAAAGCAAGGTTCATTAGACATGGATGAGAGAGTTTGGTGTGGATATGCTTGAATAGCCTGCACAGATTCCTGACCTCAACCCAATAGAGCGCCTTTGGAATTAATTAGAATATTGAGTGAGAGGCAGACATTCTCATCCCAGTTATGATCTTACAAATGTGCTCATGAAAGAATTGCCAAAAGTCAAGATTCCTTTAAACCAACCCAGAGGAGTTGAAGCACTTGTTGCTGTAAAGGGTGCACCAATGTCATATTGGACCCTGTGAATCGAGAATGAGATACTACTGAAGTTTATATTAAAGTCATGGTAGGTGAGAAAATACAGAATCTGATCTGAATATTCTGGCTGGAATGTTTAATGATGCATTTCAGTCCAATTGGCTGATTATTTCAATAGCTTATTTCCATGTAAACATAGCTACAAATTACACTTTCAGGAGTACCAGGAGGTAAATGGTGTCGCACGTGGTCCTTGACTTTAAAAAAGTTGCTCCTTAAAAGTCCTTGATAATATTTGCATTTCATAATAACCAAGGTGTGGATACCCTGCTTAAATAAGGGCAGGAATTTCGAAAAAATTCCACTAATGCCCCTTTTCCACGGACCAAAAATCCTGTTTAAACCTGGAAAAAAAATCAGCTTTTAGCAGCAGTGGGAAGAGTTCTCTGAAGCGTTTCTACTGGAATCCAACAACTCGGCAAGCGGCCTGTGTTAAAATCACTGTTCGACATTCTGTGGAAACACCAGAGCCAGGTTGACCCGCTAATTTACGTGAAGCTCTTGAGTGCAACGTTAGGACTTCAACGGACTGAGCCAGTTGCATCTGATCTAACAACCTGAAACAACTCTGCTTGCATTCTATAAATATGATGCAGCACTGGTGACAGGGATTCGGACAGATAATAGATCAAATCTATAAAGCACACTTACTACTCCCTGGCTTCCTTACATGTTACTCCCCATTGATTACTTTCCTGATTTGTGTCACACTGATGATAGTATCAATGCTAACCCAGCGAGATGGCATCACAGACATGCAGCGATAGGGGGACAGAGGCAACGCAGAAGGAAGGGAGCTACATGCTGATCGTTAGCGGGTCAACCTTTGTTTAAAAAACACTAGTTAACCCGGTATTTTCAATGGGAAAGAGGCTTAAAACTGACAGGCAGCGTCCTGCAGGTCCAGAGCAGAGGGGAGAGCGGGCTCAACAGCATATTAATGTGCAACAAACTCATTAAATCAGTCGCATTTTAGCCAAATTTAAGGCAGGTTAATGAGCACATTTATGAAGTTTGATTATGCTAATTTTACCAATATTTTTACGAAACTTACAGGGGAGGTTTAGTCATTCAATGAGAAATCGCCACTGGTATAGAGGATTTAAAAGCCCAACGTGTTGGTGGTTATATTACGCTTGTAGCTTGCTGTAGCCACATGCTAAAGGTTTTTATTTTTTAACATTGGGTTTTTTGCTTTACTAGGCTTAGTTTGCATAAAAAATAGATTGAAGCTAACATGAAATTTAAGTAAATAGTTACTTTTTTGCCTGACATGATGCTGGTTGCCGTAATAAAATGTGTGATGGTCTTGTAGTAAACCGTCTTGTAGTAAACCATCTCGTACCTGACGATACATCATCACCAGTGCAGTGCTGTGAATACGGCCTGTCAGTGAAATGCCTTTGCGTGCTCCCATGCCGACTTGGCTCGTTGCTGCAGTTGCCCCAAGCGTGTCACTCTTGAGTCTCATTTTCTCATCTTGCCTCTAGTTCCTTTAAAGGCATTTGAAGACATATATTTGCTTTGTAAGCCAATATTAAGAAGAAGATGGCAGACAAAAAAACCCAAATAACATATATATATCTAGTTAGTTATATATATGGGGTAGATGAGGTTATTTCACAGCAACCATGGACAAATCATTTACCCCATTTTACACTAGGGTTGGGAATTGAAAAGATTTTCACGATTCCGATTCCCTTTTCGATTCTATGAAACGATTCGATTCTTTATCGATTCTTTTTTCGATTCCAATTTGGGGGAAAAAGGAGAACAAACAGTTTATCAGAATCAACTTTGTTTACTTAACTATTGCACAATCTTACAAACTCAACAAGATCAAGATGTCCACAGGAAATGTGAAACTGGAGTAACATCTGTGTTTAAATGAAAAATGAATACAAGAACAAACTTAATAACCAACAATGTCTAATAACAAATGATGGGATAATAACCTATTTTAAATAACAACAAAATACTAATTATAAAACAGTAGTAGGGAAAATTAACAGTTCTTTTGCAGAAAGATGAGCATATCTGCTTTTCTGGAAGGATACGGGATCTTTCAGGGCTTATGGTGTTTCCAGCCGTGGAGAACACCCTCTCAGATGGGGTGGATGAAGCCTGCACACACAGGTAGTTTTCAGCCAGTCCAGATAGCAAGGGCAGCGTATCTTGCTTGTTCCACCACCACAGTGTGGCGCTATCCCTGCAGGGGATGGAGGGCAAGCTTTTATAGAGCTGGATTTCCTGATCTACCCTCTGGACTAAGGAAAGACGGGGCTTTGATTCACAAAGTGACCACAGCTCGTTGTCTTCCTCCTCGAATAGTTCTTCCAACTTGCGTAACTTGCGTAACTTACGTAAAAAAACGTGACGTAAGTCGTGCTCCCCAGAGCCGGCGCTCTCGGCTCTGGTGCTGCGGGTATCGAAAAAAGAATCGTTCAGCGAGCTGCCAAACGATGCCATGGAATCGGAAAATACGGAACCGGTTCTTAACAGGAACCGGTTTTCGATTCCCATCCCTATTTTACACTACCCTTGAAAAACCGATCCATGCCGAGACCGGTCCAAGCTCGGATCAGTTAACCAGGCCAAGTTTGGTTCTGACGACCATTTACACATCA